GCACATGCTTTTTCAGTCTTTATGTGAGCAATAGCACCAAATCCCACAAGTGATTCTGATGCAAAGTGTCACATGTACAACTTTCATTCCTTTCAACAGTGACCACATACACACTACTAACTTGCAGCTTTTGTTGTAGACCCTTTTTTTGAGGACAGCTTAATTAGCACAATTAAATTTTTAGTCCGTTCAACTAAACTCTCAGTGTAGCCTCTGCAAAATAAATGGTATAATGTCCATGATAAATTTGTGAACGTTACCATTACAAGTGACAAGTTTATTTTGATGATCAGCATAAAATAGAGATAGTGAAACTTTTCATCAGGTTCAGACTACTGAAGCAACTGACTAATGACCTCTAGCTCGTGACCAACTTTTTTGTTAGTGCTCAAAACAGCACATTTGTCCCTATTTTCCTTACATATTTCCTTATAATTTATATTTTTAAAATGATGTTTTAGCGTAATATATGGAAATGTTTCTTGGTGAGGTTGTAACTTGCTGGTGAGTTGATCTTTCAATGTACCCTTATGTGTTTTGTAATGTCAGGTTGTTCACTTTCTGACCCTTAAGCTTTTGCTTAAGTTTGGAGTGTGTTGCTGCTGTAAAATGCCTGCTAACAGATATCCTTAAACCCCTCCGTGTTCCAGGCCGAAATACAAATCCAGGAGCAGTACTTTGAGCCTCTGGTGAAAAAAGAGCAAATGGAGGAAAAGATGAGAAACATTCGCGAACTGAAGTGCAGAGCTGTAACATGTAAAACGGTAAATAGGTTATGAATGATTTGTTTTATAGAAGCCAAGCTATACAGTGCCATAGACTCCGCCTCCCTCTTGTGCTCCTGATTTTGGCACAGAACTGCGCTGATTTTCTGCACAGATGGAGCACAGAAGGGTAGCATCAGGGATTCTGTGCTTAACGCAGGGGGCGCTGTCCAGGACGGGGTCCTTGGCTTTTGTCGACAGCGTGGTGGTGCAGTGGTTAGCAGTGCTGGGGCCCTGGGTTCAATTCCAACTCTGGGGTGCTGTCTGGGTGGAGTTTGCATGTTATCCCCATGTTCATGTGAGATTCCTCCAGGAACTTCAGTTTCCCCACCCAGTCCAAAGATAGGGTGAGGAATAGGTTAATGGGCTTCTGGGGAAACGTTGGCCCTGGTGTGAGAGTGTACATGTTTTTGCCTGTGTCTGCCCTGTGATGGACTGGTCCAGAGCATATCCCACTTTGCACCTGGTTCTTCCTGGGATAGGCTAACTTACAGTGAATTTAGTAAATGTGTATTTGCTTATTTTTTCAGTTTTATTATCAAATGGGTTTTTTTCTTGAACAACTGACTGCACTTATTCCAAGTATTAAACTATCCTAAGAAATCATTATCTCCATTATGTAATTTCTCTTTGCAGTGTAAATATACGTATTTCAAGCCCTTGGACAAATGTGTTGATGAGAATCATGATTATCACTGGCATGACGCAGTGAAGCGCTTCTTCAAATGCCCATGTGGTCAAAGAGCAATATCTCTGGACAGGCTGCCTCATAAACATTGCAGGTAAAGACAGCAAACAGAACAGACTAGTTACTTATTAAAAGAAATGTAAATGTACTTTTCATGAAGAACGGTACTTCTAAAGTTAAGCTGTGTTACCTTATCATTGAAGAGACAGTTTGTTGCAGATTTTAATTATTGTTTGAAATTGTCATGTATCTTTTTGCATTTTGCCTCACTTATGTTACAGCTTTCTAACCGTTCCTGTTAATTTTATAATTTCAGCAATTGTGGTCTTTTCAAGTGGGAAAGAGATGGAATGTTAAAGGTATGATTTTCACTCATCCGTAGTATACTATGGTTTGACACTGAGTTTTTTTTATAAGTTTTAATGAAATAGTTCCTGGAGGTTGTGCAGTTTGCATCTCAGATCTGTCAGTCTGATGATAGTTAAAAAAAGCTTCTTCCCTTCCATGCCCAACAGGATCAGTTCCACCCTCGCTGAATCATGCCAGATTCAGAGCATTGCTTTTATTTAATGCTCATCTCTAAAAGGCCTCTGAAGTTGTATCTGTAGAAATTAGCATTTTTTTCTGACCTGAGATCAGTTCTAATTAAAATTACAATTACAATTATTATAAGTATGCTGTGGTCATTTTAGTCATAGATTTATACTAAATTATTTTAAAGGAACTCCAAGCTTAGATTAAACTTGATCTTACCATTGGCTCTAATCTTATCCGTATCCTTAGTCTTAAGCTTTACCCGGCATCCTTATCTTAGCTTTAATATCAAACCTAACCTTATCACAAGAATAGGTGTATTTCTGCATACAATGGGTGATACATAGCATACATAGCTCTTGCTATGCCCCAGAGCTCTGGAATTCTATCCCCGGTTATATCAGAGTGTCACCTTTCCTGAAAACTTTCAAATCCAGACTCAAAACCTTCTTCTTCAGGAAGTTTTTTTTAAATTAATGCCTTTGTCTGCCCCTTGGATCATCTGCTGCATTCTAAACCCTTGTTTTCAGTTGTGCTAATTGTGTTATCTCCTTTTTTCTTCTTAATGTAAAGAGATTTGAGAAGTTACATACAGTATAAAGGTGTTATATTAATTATTGTTATTACAAACAGGAGACAACCATTTGGCCCTTATAGCTTCTGACCTGTCCTGTCATGACTTTTCCCTAAGCCCAGCCTTAAAATACTCTCAAGGTTTTGACATTATTGCTCCATTTAATTATGCAATCATGAAGCAAGATCAGTGATGTTCTCTGTGTTTCTTTCTTTAGGAGAGGAGTGGCCCAAAGATTGGAGGAGAGCTGTTGTTGACCAGAGGAGAAGAGCATCAGAAATTCCTCACCAGTTTGAAATGATAACAGGACTCGGGACTTTCTGGCGACAGGATCATGTGAAAGAGCAGCAGTCATTGGTTTTTGTTCATACCCTGCCAGCATGTTAATGTGTTGTCCTTTCACGGCCCTTTTGACTACATTATCCTTATTTTACAGGCAAAATGTTTTTATCACCAGTCGTTGATGTGATTTTTTTATATATATATTCTTATAAAGCATTAGAAAACGCCAACATGCATTTATGTGGTGTGTACCACCATTTTAAAAAATCTGAAGGTCTCTATCTGATGATGAAAGTCCTTTTTGTTTTCACTTTCACCCAAGTGTAGAACTTGTGACGAAACTGAGTACCTTTGACAGTTAGCATGTCTCTGAGAAACGTTTTAGGAATGATGTGCCTTTCATTTTTCAAAATCACATACCAGCAGATTTATTTTTTTTAAATGCAGGAAATGTTTTTATGTATAGTCATTGTCATTTAAATGTATTAAAATCCGTACACATCATGCATGTTTTCTGTCTTTGGGCTTTGTGGATTTTAGCCGGTTTTCTTTTTCTTTATTCCTCCACTCATGGAATTTCTCCGTCTTAAATCTTACATTGAGTTGGTGCTGTTGGTAAATTCTCTCTATATATACAGTAGCTGTTCGAGGGAGGGTCTGTGTCAGCATGCGCTGCTGTAAAGGAACAAATGTAGAAAGGAAACACTTGTTCAAGGTGTCACCTGAAGCCTTAACAGCTAGGGTTAGGGTTCTTATTACACATACTGCACCTAACTAGCTACCTAAACTTAAGTTTTCTTTAATTTTGCACAAAAATATCAGTTATTAATAATTTGGCTGATGCTTTTATTTATATCCACTTATACAGCAGCCTGAGTGAAGTACCTTGCTCAAGGGTACAACAGCAGTGGCAGTGCTCTGTCTAGGACTTGAGCCCACATCCTTCCAGTTAGAAGTCCAGAGCCACTACTCCACACAGCAGTCCCGCTAAAAACTGGTATGTATTGTCAATATACAATACAACAGTAATTTCTTACACTTATATAGTGCATTTCTGGACACTCCACTCAAAGTGCTTTACAGGTAATGGGGACTCCCCTCCACCAATGTGGGGAAGAGAACAGAGTGATGAAGCCAGTTCATAGATGGGGGTTATTAGGAGGCCATGATTGGTAAGGGCCAATGGGAAATATGACCAGGATGCTGGGGTTACACCCCTACTCTTAACGAGAAACACCACAGAGAGTCAGGACCTCGGTTTTACATCTCATATGAAGGATTGGGGCATTAGGACCCACGTAGACTGCAGGGTGAGCGCCCCCTGCTGGTCCCACTAACACCTCTTCAAGCAGCAGCCTTAGTTTTTTCCCAGGAGGTCTCCCATCCAGGTACTGACCAAGCTCACACCTGCTGAAATTCAGTGGGCTGCCAGTTGTGAATTGATAGTATGAATAGTATTTAATAGTTTTGTGAATACTATTATAAAGGTACTGGCAATATACTTTTTGTATATGTCACACCAGTGTTGTGTGATCAAGCACCTAAAGATAAATTGAGGATTTATATGAATTGTCAGGTAGAAACTTACTCATCTATAACCCACTACCTCACTGAACGTCTAATTGTACAAATTGTGATTTATTGTCAGTAAGAATGCTTAAGAAGAGAGATGCACATTTAGAATTTATACAATGTTTATTTCATAGCCATGATAAAAGTGTACCAGACAACAATGTCTTTTTTTAGCTATTCTATCATTACATAGCAGATACATAGTCTGTTTAATATTGTCAGAAGATTGGCATCTACTGGTGTTTTTAATTTTACTGGTATTTATAGATATATTTACCTTTTTAAACAATCATGCGTGTAATATCACTCCAGGCTGGACACTGGGCTGATGTTTTAAGAAGCAGTTAATACTACGCTATTTGACATTATTTCAAATTATCTAGACAACCTCTCTGCGGTCTGCTTTATGCAGGTATTTGTTCTTATTAATTGCTTGAGTCTTGTTTCAGATTTATTTTCGCTAATATTATAGTATTCATTCATTAAATGGAGACTTGCAATATAGTATTGTTCCTGCAACATGCAAGGTTAAAATATAAATCACAAAAGTATCAAATGTAACCAAAAGATCCCGCATTTACCAGTCACCTCAACATGCAGTATAGATCACCATAATCTATATAGTATCAGATTAAAAAGAAACAGGCATTCTCTTCAGAAAACATGAGCACTCTCGTTTCTTTTTAATGTGATCACGGTACATAATCCAAT